CCCAGCCTTCACCACACCTGTGCACAAGGAGATGAAGCTGATGGAGCTGCAAAGACGACAGAGAGGCTGAGCACTGAGGCCTTGACCATGTACCCTAGGACAGGGGTCCCGCCCAGGACTCACCTGCCTGCAGCAGACCCCAGACCCCCCAGCACAGGAGGGGGACACTGATGGCAGGGACAGGAGTCTGAGGATGCTGGGGCTTTGGGTGCTGGTTAGAGTGAACCCGGGCTGTGAGGGAGTGTTGTGAGATGTCACAGCCCTCCTGGCCCAGGGCCAACCTGTGACAGGGCCACGCCCCTCACTGGGCTCCAATGACAAATGTCCAGGGCAGCTCCAAGTGGAGAGTGTGTTACTCTAAGTGACCTAAGTCTTATACTTTGCTCTGTTTGTAAATCAGTGTGAAACTTTATATTATTTCTTCCTGTGATATTATTTTTCACCACACACTGGTCTCTTCATCTAATTATTTCTATAGTTTTGAAACTTTAAAGAATATATGTAGCACCTTGATGTGCACGAGGGCTGGAGGGTCCAAATCATCCAAGAGTTTTTCTGCATCTTAGTGACCAGTCCTACTTCTCTCCTTCCATCCACAGAGGCGCCGCTGCCGTCTGGATCATCAACATTTCAGACTCACTTTGCTGTTTCCTCTAAGTCACTGTATGGGACACTGGCCGGAGCTGCTGCAGAGTGTCTGCCCGCGTGTGGAGGGGCAGCAGCAGCAGACACACCTGACGTGTCACTGCCCTCCTTGGGGAGTCAGTGGCTGCTCAGGGGACCTCCAGCTCAGGAACACAGGTGAGTGTGGGGTTCAGGGGAGGGGCACAATCCAGAGCAACAGGAAAATGTTCTCTTTTCATTGGATGATCACATGTCACGGGGCTCTCCTTGTGCAGAATGATTGACACTAGTGAGTGAAGAGTAAAACCAGGGTAACAGGTGCTCAGGGTCACGGAACACCCTCCTTAGAGGCCCGGAGTCAGCCCAGATCTGTGGCCTTGACCTTCATGTTCTGAATAAAGTTTGAGCCTCAGGTCCTGAGGCCAAGACCTTGCATTTCTCATCTCAGGTCCTTATTGGGGTGCCAGGTCCCCGGGGCATCAGCTCCTGTCCTGGGTCTGGGAAAGTCAACAAACCCGGGCTACAAGGAGTCTTGAAGCCAGAGTCAGAGGAGCAGCCTGTTGAGGACACTGCTCACACACCTACAAATAAGCCAAATAACACTGATGGATTGATGTGGGGATGAGCAGTATATTGCTTGATGTTCTCTGCACTGCTACTCTGGGCATGGAAGGGGAAGCCAGATGAGGGGTGATGCTACCTGGGGGGGCGGTGGGAAGCACAGGTGTTCAAAGCAGACTTGAGTTTGGTTCCTCTCTGCAGCATCTCTGAAATCAAACCAGGGAAGGACACTTCCCACACATAATAAGATAGTAACATAATACCTCTGTTGGCTGTTTTCCTGTCATCACACATCACACACAGGATCCCCAGAGACACTGTCCTACCGACAGGGCTGAGCCACCTGCTCCAGCCCCGCCCTCGCTCTCACTTCCTGAGCTGGGCTGGAGGATTTTTGTGCTCTGGGCTGCTGCTCTTGTAGGGCTGTGCCCTTGCTGCTGGCACAGAGATACAGGGCCGAGTCCTCCAGCTCCACGGAGCTCATGTTCAGCTCAGAGCGATCATAGTCTTTCAACTGCCCAAATTGGAATCGGCCAGGGAAACTTTCTTTTTCTTGCTCTTTCCCATCAAAATACCGAACCAGGAACGCTGGACCCTGGCCTGGGGCCTGCTTGTACCAGTACACATACGAGTGTCCTTGCTCATAGGAACATGTGAGGTTCGCGTTCTGTCCTCTCGCTGTGACCAGATACTTGGGGTTCTGCGTGACTTCAGAGTCCACTGGGCCTGTGGGAGGAGAAACACAGGAGCTGAGGCAGAGCCAAGGGATGTGTCTGCTCAGCCATCACCAGGGCAGGGTGGTCACCAGGCAGCTGAGGTTCTGCCGAGCTCCCCAGGGTGCCAGGACCCACCTGCTCCCAGGAGACAAAGGGCCACACAGCAGAGGAGCCTGGAGCCCATGGCGGCCTCAGGCTCTTGCAGATCCAGGCTCAGGCGGGTCTGAGTTAGTCACCTCTCGGGGCCTGATTGGGCACTTGTCGCTGATGTCACTGCTGTGATGTCACTGCCCTGCTGTTCCTCTCCCAGCAGGACTCCCCAGGCCTTTTTCACCTTAACAGGACCCAAGGCTGGTCACTCTCTGTCCATTCCTGTCTGCACAGCCCGCACGTGGGTGGGTGTGGGCTCAGCCCCTCCCCCTATGCCCACAAGCACTTGTTGTCCCCTGTCTGCCTCTCTTGACACTGTTGCCGTCATCATAGTCTCTTTCCCACTCCTTCCCTTGCAGTTGAAAGGACAGAGGAGGGGAAGGCCACGTCCACTTCCCTGGACAGGGGAGTCTCTGTGACTGCAAGTGTCCCAGGACCTCCCAGTGACTCAGCCCCCTCCCTGACAAGGCACTTGGCCAAGACTCCCATTCAGATGGGCCCTCCTGGGCACTGACCCCTCCTCCAGAGCACCTGCACATCTGCGGGCCCACAGCGCCTCCCAGTGGCCACAGGTCCTCAGGCCCATGGATTCCCCTGGTGTGTGGGAATCAGAGTGGACACTCCTCCAGTGGCCCAGAGCCCAGACTCCATTTACTTCTCTCTCAGCCTGGCCGTAAGGCTGAGATTTAAGTCCACCCGTATGTGTGAACTGATTGTAAGAACAATGATTTGATCAAGAAGGGGATGAATATTCCACCATTAGCACACGATGATGGAAAACACCAGGCGCCATACACAGGCCATGAAAATGAGTATTTCCCAACAAGCTCCTCCTGGCCTGGGAACCTAAGGATCCACTAGTAAGTACTGACTTTTAGAGCATTTATAAAAAGGATTTATGTATTTTACACAAAATTTCTGATCTTTTAAACTCTTAAAACTTGTCAGTGATAATGAACACTCCCAGCCAGGACTAAAGTCCTTCATCTAAACTCCTTGATCTATAGACATCCTCTCTTGTCTCCCTTGTTACCCCACCACCAACTTTACCAGAAATCTCAACTCTCAGAATGGCATTTATAGACGTTGTATTTACTCAGGATACAGAAAGTGCCACTTGTTAAATTGTGCATTTCCACACCAGGGACAGAGGCTTGTACAAACTGATGTCCCCATTGTGGATGTCTCCTTCCAGTTTACTTTTGGAGCTGAGGGAGTAATAAATCAGCCTGAGCCCGAGTACTGGGTCCTGGTGATACCAGGACATGTTGTCATAGCCCATATCTTGGACACATCTCAGGTTCACCTCTGCCGTGTCCTCAGGATCTGGAATCTGGGGTCTGAGAGACCCCATCCTTCACCACACCTATGCACAAGAGATGAAGCTGATGGAGCCGCAGACACAACGGAGAGGCTGAGCACTGAGGCCTTGACCGTGTCCCCCAGGACAGGGTCCCCGCCCAGGACTCACTGCCTGCAGGAGACCCCAGACACCGCAGCACAGGAAGGGGATGCTCATGGCAGGGACACGAGACTGAGGGTGCTGGGGGTGAGGGTGCTGAGAAGGGAGTGGGGCTGTGAGGGAGTGTTGTGAGATGTCACAGCCCTCCTGGCCCAGGGCCAACCTGTGACAGGGCCACGCCCCTCACTGGGCTCCAATAACAAGTGTCCAGGGCAGCTCCGAGTGGAGAGTGTGTTACTCTAAGTGAACTAGTCTTATACTTTGCTCTGTTTGTAAATCAGTGTGAAACTTTATATTATTTCTTCCTGTGATATTGTTTTTCACCACACACTGGTCTCTTCATCTAATTATTTCTATAGTTTTCAAACTTTAAAAAACATATGTAGCACCTTGAGTGCGTGATGGCTGGAGGGTCCAAATCATCCAAGAGTTTTTCTGCACCTTAGTGGCCAGTCCTACTTCTCTCCTCCATCCACAGCGGCGCCGCTGCCGTCTGGATCATCAACATTTCAGGCTCACTTTGCTGTTTCTTCTAAGTCACTGTATGCAGTGGCCGGTGCCACAGCAGAGTGTCCTGCCTGTGTGTGGAGGGGCAGCAGCAGTAGACACACCTGACGTGTCACTGCCCTCCTTGGGGAGTCAGTGGCTGCTCAGGGCACCTCCTGCCCAGGAGCACAGGTGAGTGTGGGGTTCAGGGGAGGGGCACAATCCAGGGCATCTGGAAAATGTTCTCTTTTTTTTTGGATGATCACATGTCATGGGGTGCTCCTTGTTCCAGAATGATTTTCACTAGTGAGTGATGAGTATAGCCGGGGTAACAGGTGCTCAGGGTCATGGAACGCCCTCCTTAGAGGCCCGGAGTCAGCCTGGATCTGTGGCCTTGACCTTCATGTTCTGAATCAGGTTTGAGCCTAAGGCCCTGAGGCTCAGATGTGCCTTCCCCTCATGTGTCCCTTCAACTGCAAGGGAAGGAAAAGTAAAGAGAGGCCGTGCATTTCTCATCTGGGTTTCTTAAGCGGGTGCCAGGTCCCCGGGGCATCAGCTCCTGTCCTGGGTCTGGGGGAGTCAACAAACCCGAGCTACAAGGAGCCGTGCAGCCAGAGTGAGAGGAGCAGCCTGTTGAGGACACTGTTCACACATCTACAAATAAGCGAAAAAACACTGATGGATTGATGGGGTGATGAGCTTAAATTGCTTGATCTTCTCTGCACGGCTAATCTGGGCCTGGAAGGGGAAGCCAGATGAGGGGTGATTCTACCTGAGGGGGGGTGGGTGGGAAGCACAGGTGTTCAAAGCAGACTTGAGTTTGGTTCCTCCCTGCAGCATCTCTGAAATCAAACAGGGAAGGACACTTCCCACAGATAAGAAGATAGTAAAATAATTACTTCTGTTGGCGGGTTTCTGTCATCACATATCACAGGCAGGAACCCCAGAGACACTCTCTTGCCCCCAGGGCTGAGCCTCCTGCCCCAGCCCCGCCCTCCCCCTCACTTCCTGAGCTGGGCTGGAGGGTTTTTGTGCTCTGGGCTGTGGCTCTTGCAGGGCTGTGCCAAGCTGCTGGCGCAGAAATACAGGGCCGTGTCCCCCAGCTCCATGGAGCTCATGTTCAGCTCAGAGCGATAATTGCCTGTCAACTGCACAAATTTGAATCGGTCAGGGAGATTTTCTTTTTCTTGCTCTTTCTCATCATAATATCGAACCAGGAACGCTGGACCCTGGCCCGGAGCCTGCTTATACCAGTACACAGACAGGTGTCCGTTCTCATAGGAACATGTGAGGTTCGCGTTCTGTCCTCTCGCTGTGACCAGATACTTGGGGTTTTGCATGACTTCAGAGTCCACTGGGCCTGTGGAAGGAGACACACAGGAGCTCAGGCAGAACCAAGGGAAGCGTCTGCTCAACCATCAGCATGGCAGGCTGGTCACCAGGCAGCTGAGCCTATCCTAGGCTACTCAGGGTGCCAGGACCCACCTGCTCCCAGGAGACAAAGGGCTACACAGCAGAGGAGCCTGGAGCCCATGGCGGCCTCAGGCCCTGGCAGCTTGAGACTCAGGGGAGTCTGAGTTAGTCACCTCCTGGGCCCTTATTGGGCACTTGCCGCTGATGTCACTGCTCTGATGTCACTGCTCTGCTATTCAACTCCCTGCAGGACTCCCCAGGCCAGCTGTATCTTTAATAGGACCCAAGGCTGGTCACTCTCTGTCCATTCCTGTCTGCACAGCCCGCACTTGGGTGGCTGTGGGCTCAGCCCACCCCCTAGGCCCACAAGCACTTGTTCTCCCCTGTCTGCCTCTCTTGACACTGTTACCATCATCATCGTCTCTTTCCCACTCCTTCCCTTGCATTTGAAGGGACAGATGAGGGGAAGGCCACGTCCACTTCCCTGGGCAGGGGAGTCTCTGTGACTGCACGTGTTCCAGGTCCTCCCTCTGCCTCAGCCCCCTCCCTGACAAGGTTGTGGCCAAGACTCCCCTTCAGCTGGGCCCTCCTGGGCACTGACCCCGCCTCCAGAGCACCTGCTCTTCTGTGGGCCCACAGCGCCTCCCAGTGGCCACAGGTGCTCAGGCCCATGGATTCCCCTGGTGTGTGGGAATCAGAGTGGACACTCCTCCAATGGCCCAGAGCCCAGACTCCATTCACTTGTCTCTCAGCCTGGCCACCTTAAGGCTGAGATTTAAGTCCACTCATATGTGTGAACTGATGGTAAGAACAATCCTCTAGATCAAGAAGGGGATGATTATTCCACCATTAGCACACGATGATGGAAACACCAGGCTCCATACACAGGCCATGAAAATGAGTATTTCCCAACACAGCTCCTCCTCTGAGACCTATGCATTTCCACTAGTAAGTACTGATTTTCAGAGCATTTATGAAAAGGATATACGTATTTTACATAAAATTTCTAATCTTATAATCTCTTAAACCTGTCGGTGATAATGAACACTCCCAGCCAGGACTGGAGTCCTTCATCTAATTTCCTTGATCTATAGACATCCTCTCTTCTCTCCCTTGTTACCCCGCCATCAAATTACCAGATGTCAACTCTCAGACGTTATATTTACTCAGGATACAGAAAATGCCACTTGTTAAATTGTGCATTTCCACACCAGGACAGAGGCTTGTACAAACTGATGCTGGCCCCACAAGGGAATATTCTATAGAAACTCTGACACACTCTCTCTGCCTCGGGCTCCCTCACGCTCACACTCGGGAGCTCAGGCTGGGAGGCCAAGACCTGAGTGTGTGAAACCCCACGCAGAGTCCTCGCATCAGAGAATTGCTCGTGATCAGTGAATGAAGAAGAGCAGGGGGCAAAAGTCATAGTTTACTGTTTATTCCTGACTCTCTCAAAGTAAAATCTCTCTCTCCCTCTGAGGTCCGGCCTCTCATGTCAGTAGAGGAGCAAGTTGTGTGAGTCCCGACTTAACCCACAGGCAGAACATGGACAGGGGGACGGGACCTGGGCTGGGAGCCGCGGGCCAGAGCACATGTGCACCCCGGGCACAGGAGGCCAGGCCTCGGGCTCCCTGACTCGCAGATGTGGGCGGGGAGTCTGAGGGGCTCAGGGCGGTGACTGTTGTCAGAGGAGGCCAGACAGTCGGGGATTGTCCTCCATCCTGTAGGTGTGCTTGGGTGTTTTCCTTTCCTGGCTGGGGCAGGGCCTCCAAAAGGGGCAGGGTCACCGGCTCCCCCCACAGGCAGGCTGGTCCTCAGCCTGGATCTCACTTTGATGAGTCAACAGATCACGGAGGACTGAGCCCTGACCATGGGGGCATTTCTCTTGGGAGGAGTCCAGAGGGGGCCAGAACCTTCTGTCATCTGTAAGAACTGGTCCAGGAGCCTGTCTGAGCCGAGATAATGTCCTCCCGACTCCACTGGCCTCACTCTGACCTGGGGTCCTGCAGTCCAGGCTCTTCAGCATCACAGAAGCGCAGGAAGGAGACAGAGCCCCTGCTTTGGAGGGAGTCTGAATCCACAGTCGGGAGAGAAAATCTTTAGTCAGGACCTGGACATCTAGATCTGAGCCAGCGCAGTTGGGGCAGGTCACCCTGGAATAAACCAACTTCACCTCAATAAACATAATGGGGGGGATGAAAGTGGTGAAGGCCGAGTCAAGTTGGAAAGACTGCGCGAGCAGGTGTCGGCCCTCAAACAATCCACGCTGGGCTCTCAGGTGATGTGCACAGGTAGGAGCGAAACTGCATCTGCCAGACACCATTTCCTTTACATTCTGGGCTAGAGCTTGTCAAGGAGGAACTTGTGTAAACTTCGTGTTGTAGAGAGTCTCAGCAACTGCCCTTGCAACATTAAAAGTGCATAAAGGTGAAAAATAATCAGATAAGCTGTAAACTTTCAACTCAGCATCACGGTCACCTGCTCCATCCAGGGACTCAGCCACTTTGGGCACAGGCACCCATGAGACCTTAGAACAAGGGACTGACCTCCACAGGGCAGGGAGGGAGAGCGCCTGGGGAGCAGGTGTGGGGCTGCGCTCCCCAGAGCAGGAGTGAGTCTCTTCAGGAAGGAAGGGTCCATGTCCAGATGTGGAAACAGACCCAGTCTCTGAGATAAGAAGGGGTGACAGGTGACACCAGGGGCATGGGGCTAAAGGCCAGGTGAGCTGTGCAAGACAAATCTTAGTACAGGGGCATGCGCACCCAGAGTAGAGGTGTGACTCACTCACCCGGGTTCGCACCGACTGCAGGGACCCCACTACTGCAGAGTTTCAGGAGGTCAGACTTGCAAAGGACTTTGCTGAGTCCCGGGGTTCAAGGCCCCCAACTTCTTGTGCAGAGAGGAGGTGAGCCTGCAGCGCTGTGCATAGCTGGTGGCACAGAAGTACACAGATGTCTGGGAGGGGGTGGCAGACTCCAGCATGAGCAGGAAGTTCTTCTTACTTGGTCTGGAGACGTTGTACCCACTATGGATGTCTCCTTGGAGTTTACTATTGGTGCTGAGGGAGTAATAGATCAGCCCGAGCCCCAGTCCCGGGTCCTGGCGATACCAGTACATGTTGTCATAGCCCATATCTTGGACACAACTCAGGTTGCACCTCTGTCCTATCCTCAGGATCTGGAATCTGGGGTCCTGAGAGACCCCAGCCTTCACCACACCTGTGCACAAGGAGATGAAGCTGATGAAGCTGTAGACACAATGGAGCGGCTGAGCACTGAGGCCTTGACTGTGTCCCCCAGGATAGGGGCCACCTGCAGGAGTCACCTGCCTGCAGGGACCCCAGATCCCCCAGCACAGGAGGGGGACACTCATGGCAAGGATAGGATACTGAGGGTGCTGGGGCTGTGGGAGCTGATGAGAGGGGAGCGAGGCTGTGAGGGAGTGTTGTGAGATGTCACAGCCCTCCTGGCCCAGGGCCAACCTATGACAGGGCCACGCCCTCCCCGGGCTCCAATGACAAGTGTCCAGTGAGCAGCTCCGAGTGGAGAGTGTGTTACTCTAAGTGAACTAGTCTTATACTTTGCTCTGTCTGCTTGTAAATCAGTGTGAAACTTTATATTATTTCTTCCTGTGATATTATTTTTCACCACACACTGGTCTCTTCATCTAATTATTTCTATAGTTTTGAAACTTTAAAGAATATATGTAGCACCTTGATGTGCGCGATGGCTGGAGGGTCCAAATCATCCAAGAGTTTTTCTGCATCTTAGTGGCCAGTCCCACTTCTCTCCTTCCATCCAAACGGCGCCGCTGCCGTCTGGATCATCAACATTTCAGACTCACTTTGCTGTTTCCTCTAAGTCACTGTATGGACTCTGGCCGGGGCCACTGGAGAGTGTCCTTCCCCCGAGCAATGCCCCGAGTTGAGACAAAGCAGACACACCTCACTTGTCGCTGCCCTCCTTGGGGAGTCAGTGGCTGCTCAGGGGACCTCCTGCCCAGGAGCACAGGTGAGTGTGGGGTTCAGGGAGGGGCACCATCCAGGGAGACTGGAAAATGTTCTCTTCTTATCGGGTGTTCATATGTCACGGGGCTCTCCTTGTGCAGAACGATTGTCACTAGTGAGTGATGAGTATAGCCGGGTCACGGGTGCTCAGGGGCACGGAACCCCATCCTTAGAGGGCTGGAGTCAGCCCAGGTCTGTGGCCCTAACCTTCATGTTCTGAATCAGGTTTGATCCTCAGGCCCACAGATCATGCAGCTGGTCCTGAGGCCGTGACCTTGTGTTTCTCATCTGGGGTTCCTAAGGGGGTGGGGCATCAGCTCCTGTCCTGGGTCTGGGGGAGTCAGCAAACCCGGGCTACAAGGAGCCGTGCAGCCAGAGTGAGAGGAGCAGCCTGTTGAGGACACTGCTCACATCTACAAATAAGCCAAATAACACTGATGGATTGATACGGTGATGAGCAGTAAAATGATTGATCTACCCTGTGTAGCTAATCTGGGCCTGGAAGGGGAAGCCAGATGAGGGGCGATTCTACCTGAGGGTGGGTGTGGGGGGTGCACAGGTGTTCAAAGCAGACTTGAGTTTGTAACCTCCCTGCAGCAGTTCTGAAATCTAACAAGGGAAGGACACCTCCCACAGGTAATAAATTAGTAAAATAAACTATGGTGGCTGTTTTCCAAGTCATCATGTATCCCACACAGGAGCCCAGACACACTGTCTTGCACCTAGGGCTGGGGCTCCTGCCCCCGCCCCGCCCTCCCCCTCACTTCCTGAGCTGGGCTGGTGGGTTTTTGTGCTCTGGGCTGTTGCTCCTGCAGGGCTGTGCCAAGCTGCTGGCGCAGAGATACAGGGCCGAGTCCCCCGGCTCCACGAGGCTCATATTCAGCTCAGAGCGACGACGGACTTGTAACTGCCCAACTTTGAATCGGTCAGGGAGACTTCCTTTTTCTTGCTGTTTCCCATTGTAATACTGAACCAGGAAATCGGGGCCCTGGCCTGGGGCCTGCTTGTACCAGTACACAGACTGGTGTTTTGTCTCATAGGAACATCTCAGGGTCACGTTCTGTCCTCTTGCTGTGACCAGATACTTGGGGTTCTGCGTGACTTCAGAGGCCACT